TTGTTGATTCTCTGTTTGGCTTAGTTTTTCGGATCTTTGTTGTGGAGGGACGGCGTGGTGCTTCTGCCTAGACCGCCATCTTGCCGGAGTCCTCTAGGCCTTTCTTCTGAGGCATCTCTAGGTAGACTCAAACTGCCAGTCTTTCAGTTAGCAGTCGAGCGCTTTAACCATTTGCGCCACCCAGGGACACACAGTCCCCAGGTAAAACCACCCCTGGGGCTGAGACGGCTCTTTGCCAGGTTACTTTTAAACAAACAACAAACATAAGATCCTTTAAACTTTTCCACCAAAGCTCTTTCACTTTGTTATTTTATTTTCAACATCAACCGATATTGAATTAAACAGTGAGTGAGTGAGTGAATAAATTCCTTCTTATAAGTGGGGTAAGGGAAAATTGATGTTCAAGAGAAAACTGGGCAAGTGAAGTAACTTGCCTAAAGCTACAGAGCTTTGTGAGTGACGGAACCAGAGCTTGAACCTGGCCTCACCCAGCAAACTGGTGACTTCAAGCCACGTGCTCACGACTAGCTATATTCTGTGGTGACCCAGACAGCCAGGTAAGCAACAAGTTCTCTCTCCAACATGCAGCTGCTGCAGAGCACAAGCTCAACAAGTCACTTGCTCCCTCTGCTTCAGATTTTCCACTTATAAAGTAGGGTCAAAATTCCCTTTCCTTCTTGAACATCTAAGACTTTGAATGTTAACATAACTATTTTGTGTGTGTATTTTAACGTGTTTTTATAGTTACAAGCAAACATGATTAGGTATTGGATGGATATTTGGGTCCATCCAGTGGAATTTCTAGCACCCCAATATAAAGAATGGAGCATGTGCTACAACAGTAAATGACTTAGGAAAAAAACTCTATCACAACAAGAGAAAATTATTGATGTCTTGGGGCAAGCCTCAAAAAAATGTAGCTTTAGGGGAATGTGTCTTTTCCAGGAAGCACCCACAAACCAATAATATCCCCTGAGATGTCTATACATTCTGCAGAAAAAGATGTCATTCATGAAATTTATAAATACTATGTCTTTCATTATTTTCAAAGACTTTCCACATGTTTAGATGGCTTCTTTTCAGAAGCGTAAGGTAACTATATTTTATAGAAATGACAATTGAGGTTTTGAGGCTAAGGGAGAGGAACAAAGTCTGACTAGTAAGCAGGTAATGTTTCACAGCCCTGAGCCTTTATCCTTCTCCTTCCCAAACTATTGGGTCAAGCAGGCGTTTTTCGGTCTCATGAACATTTCCCTGCCCTTTGCTTGATAGGACTAACAGGGAATGGCAGTCTGTCAGAAGGTTGGGGATGTGGCTCCTGTTTAACGAAAGGTTTGGAATGAACCCCTGCTGCTAATGCCCTTTCTGACACTACAATCTCATGATTCTGTGGAAACTTACTGTCTTAGTTATTTAGTGCTTCTGGAACAGAAATACCACAAGGGGATGGCTTTAACAAACAGAAATTTACTCTCTCACAGTCTAGGAAGCTAGAAGTCTGACCAAATTCAGGGCACCAGCTTCAGGGGAAGGCTTTCTCTCTTTGCCAATTCTAGGGAAAGGTCCTTGCCATCAATCTTCCCCTAGTCTAGGAGCTTCTTGGTGCAGGGACCCTGGGTCCAAAGGATGTGTGCTCCGCCTCAGCACTTCTTTCTTGGTGATATGAGGTCCCTCTCCTCTCTGCTCACTTCTCTCTTAATTTTACCTCAAAAGAGAGTGACTCAAGATACAACGTAATCCTGTAGATTGTGTCCTACCTCATTAACATAACTGCCTCTAAACCTGCCTCACGAACATCATAGAGGTTAGGATTTACAACACATAGGATAATCGCATCAGATCGCAAACTGAAGGACAACCACACAATACTGGGAATCATGGCCTAGCCACGCTGACACATATTTTGAAGGGACACGATTCAATCCATGACACTAACTAAAATTCTTTTCATTTGGAGCAGAACATGGTGAAAAAAAGGATTCTATGGTAAACGCCATCATTAGGGATTTTAGTCATTAATATAATAAAGCATATCGCTAAAGGAGCCCTGATGGCACAGTGGTTAAGAGCTCGGCTGCTAAACAAAAAGGTTAGCAGTTCGAATCCACCAGCCGCTTCTTGGAAACTACAGGGCAGTTCTACTCTGTCGTATAGGGTTGCTATGGGTCGAAATGGACTCCACTGCAAGAGGTTTGATTTAGTTTTATATCACTAAAAGAAGGAAACGGGAAAAACCACCATTTAGTGAATTCCTAAGATATAACAGACATTTATTAAAATTAATCCTCACCATAACCTTGCAAGGTGGACATTATAAGTCCTGTTTTACAAATGAGGAAACACATAAGAGAGAGAATTTGTGCTGATAAGAGTAAAAGCCAGGATGTGAATCAATGTGTTGTTTGAGTTGAGTGTGTGCTCTTCTACCACTCCAAACCAACGGAAGGCAGATTGGCCCACAAAGCGGCCTCAAAAAATAAACCAAAGTGGTCTCAGTTCTTCTAAATAAACTTCGCTGAGTACAGATAAGCCTAAACCAGCGATGGCTTCCCAGGACTGCGGGGAATCGAGGCTCCGACACTTTCATTTTCTGAGGCAGGACGTGACTAGGATTCACTGCAACCATAAAGGGCCTTTTGGTACTAAAGCTCATGCTGTGAAAAATAACTTGCAAATTTCCTTTCCACGTCCAGCAGCTGTAACTGCTAGACCAAAAAAATAATAATGTTTTTTAATCACACAATTTAGTATCTAAGGTCCTCTTACCTTTCCATCCCATGTAAACTGTTCTATAAACAGTGGCAGAGTAACTGGATTGCTCTCCCAAAATCAAGGTCCAAAAGAAAGAACATATAGCACTTGAAAGACTAAACCATGGAGTAGGTAACCATAAAAGAAGAATTACACTTTCAGAGAGAGAAAATGAGGTAGACGATGAGGGGGGTGGGGCGGGAAATGAGGTAGAAAAGGGTCAAGGGGAGTTTTGCTAGGCTAGAAAGTATTATTTCTAAGAAGTGTTATGGATTGAATTGTGTCCCCTAAAAATAAGGGTTGTAAATCCTAAACCCCTATCTATACCTGTGAATGTAATTCCATTTGGGAAAAGACTTTCTTTGTTATGTTAATGAGACCATATCAGTGTAAGGGGTGTCTTAAACCAATCACCTTTGAGACTTAAAAAGAGCAGATTCGACACAAAGGAAGGGGAAGAAACATACCTCATGAAGATAGCAAATGAACCGAAGAACAGAAACTGAAAAGAGACAAGGACCTTTCCCCAGAGCTGACAGAGAAAAAGAGAAAGCCTTCCCCGAGAGCCGGCACCCTGAGCTCAGCACCCTGAATGCGGGCTTCTAGCCTCCTAAACTGTAAGAAAATTAATTTGTTTGTTAAAGCAACCCACTTGTAGTCTTCCTGTTATAGCTGCAATAAGAAACTAGGACAAGAAGCAACTGTAATCTTTAATTTTAATAATATTGTACTCACTTTATATGTCGGGATGTACGATTAAATGTTTGCCACCTGGAAGGCACGTTCATTTCACAATGTACCACGGGTTTGATCTGCAAAAAGAAAAAATAAGCCTTAAAATTCAGTTCAAATTAACAAGCACTTATTAAATACCTGTGGTACGTACAGTACCACCCCCAAAACATAAGTAAGGAGTGGGTGGTGCTTTGCCAAGAGAACGTACAGGAGAAGGTCTAGGAAAGAAAGGGGATGCTTGAAATGTGGGTAGGATTCCAACGAGGGCATTGAGAAGTGATTGATGTTGAGGTGGAGCATTGTGAATTTCCAGTGGAGGAAAAGGTTTAAATGACGAAGCACAGGGTGCAAACAGGATAGAATGATTAACAAAGGTACCAAGAACCAACCAGTTTCCAAAGAGTCGATTCTAACTAATGGTGACCCCATGTGTGTCAGAGTAGAACCGTGCTCCACAGGGTTTTAAGGGGCTGATTTTTCAGAAGTTGACCACAGCCCTTTCTTCCAAGGCAGCACTGGGTGGCCTTGAACCTCCAGTCTCAGTTAGCAGCCAACTGTGTTAACATTAACAGTTTATACTACCCAGGGACTCCAAAGGTACTAACTTTATCAGCTTTATAGTTCATGCTAAGAATTTAGCCAATCATTCATTCAGTAGACACTTATCGATAACCTATTATGCCCCAGGTAATTTACTTGGTCAAATTTTGGGGCCTCAGCAATGGATGGGGTGGCTTCTAACAGCAGACCCTGAGATTTGAGTCAGACAGTCCTGCCAAACAAGTGAAAACAACTCCCTATATTTCCTGACCCCTTTCCACTTTTTTTTGTGAATCTTGTCTGAGAGGTTAAGCCCACGGACCCCAATGGACTGGAGTATAAAGTTGTGGCTTCATTACAGCTTCATACTCCAGTTCACTGGGGTCAAGACACTCAAGTGGGAAAAGAATTTCTGAGACCTGTCACAGGTGAGCAAAAGTCTCTCATCCTCATGATCCTGTTGTTTAAGAGTGCACAGAAAAGCAAATGGAAGGATTTTCTATTTTTGAGTTAACGTTAACCATACCTGTGCTAAAGGCTGTCATCACAGCCCCACGCACAATCCCTAGCTCACTCGAAGATACCCCTCCAATATATCTGTATGTATCCAAAATCCAATTCATTACCTTCCTTCTGAACAACTGCTCCTCTCTCCATGTTTGTTCTCTACCCACGCACTCCACCAGGCTGAAAGCTTTGAGTCATTTTCACAGCTCCCTCACATCCAATTAATCATAACCATTTTTTTTTTTTTTTTTTGCCTCTGCCCACATCTTACATTCTAGCTCTGTTGCATCCCCATTGTCTTAGTTCAAATTTTCATTAACCCTTCACCTTGGCAATTGTAACAGTCTCTCAAGGGATTCCCTCCCTGTCAGAGTCTCTCGTCTCTGTAGTCCTTCCCACATCCCACTGTCACAGTTGGCTTTCTCACAACATAGCTCTAATCATGGAACTCTGCCACTCAAAAATGTCTGATGATTTACCACAGTCTACAGAACAAAGTCCAAATCCTCTCATCTAGCACTGAAGGCCTTCCACATTCTGTCTCTCTCCTCCCCAACTTACCTTGTCAGCCTTATTTTGCTCTCTATCACTTAAAACACTCAATAGACATTGTACATCACTCGATACACTGTACACTTTGCTCCAATAGGCCGCTCTGGTCCACTGGCCAGTCGACATTCAGGCCCTGAGCCTTTGCTGTCTGTGTGCCTTTGTGCAGGATTTTCCTAGCTCAGAGCTCCTCACCCTGAACAACCTCTCCACCTCCACCCTACCTCGCTCACCACCAACCTGACCTTCAAGGCCTAGTTTTATGAAGTCATCTGTAAACCCACAGTCAGAATTCATCAGTCCTTTTTCAATATTCCCACTAGCTACAATTCATTGTCTATGCTCATCAGATCACACGCTCTTATACTTGCACGTATGCTTCCCCCACTGCACTATAAACAAAAACTTGTTGCCGTCAAGTCGATTCCAACTCATAGCAACCCTATAGGACAGAGTAGAATGGCCTGATAGGGTTTCTAAGGAGCGGCTGGTAGATTCCAACTGCCGACCTTTTGGTTAGCAGCCAAACACTTAACCATAATTCTCGCATTCCCTCCCTCAGTCCATGATCCTTTCCTCTTTACCACCCTAGTCCTAACCTGAAGCAAGCAGAAGGGATTATAAATTGCTCCAAAGAAATCTCAAAGCTCAGCATATCAAGCAGGCTTTGAAGCTGGCTAGTAGTTCAGATCTGACAAATGTATCTCTCTTTCACTTTCCCCTACTCTACCTGCGTCCTGATGCCTGCCCACTCACCAACTTCAATGCCAGTCCCCACCAGCTTATAGAGGCTCTTGCTCCCTCAAGTTTGACACCTGGTATGAAGGGCTTGCCCCGACTATTGCTATGCTTGGTTCAGTCGGCAGGATCCAATAGTACACCTGATTTCCTCCCAGTGCCCACAACTGGGTCTCCCACTCTGCCTGCCCTCTCTCGTCTCCTTCTACTCCCAGGCCCCTGCCAGGCTCCCCCTACTCCTGCACAGGACATGTCACTTAACCCACTAACGTTTCCATTTCTGGAACTCTATTGAATTGCCTCAAGTTGAGTAAAAAGTCATCAACAAAGCTCCTTCAAGAAAAGCAACGCAACCTATGTTCTCTAGGTTCATAATGAGAGATAAGAAAAAGCTGCATGTACCATTGAGAGGTAATAAATTACTGACGTCTCATGCTTTCCTGAAAAGTGTTCTTTTTTTAAAGAGGGAAAGGGAGATGTGTTATTCTGGACCTTCTGAAGGAGACAAGGAAGGCTGTCTCACATGAATCGTAGGATGAAGGGTAAGAAGAACCAAGAAAGACAGAGCTGGTATGTAATCTTGAAACACCATTAGTCAAAAAGGGGGACTGACAAGAGGCTGTGGATAAAGCAGTGCAAATCTTGGACACAGCTTGGTAGAGGGGCAAAACCAGTCTTTACAGTTAGATTTGGGTTCAAATTCCACCTCTATCACCTACTATCTGTGGGACTTTGGAGATGCTATTTTATCTCTTGGAGCCACAATTGATTACTTTTTAAAATAGGGATAATAATATCTTGCAGGGATTTTATGAGAATTATATGAGATAACATTTTATAAAAGGCACACTGCAATACCTATCACCTAGTAAAAATATTTAATCCAATAAATATTAAAGTCCTTTAACACACAGACAGAGAGAGAGAAAGAAAGATACAGGGACCGTTCAGCATCTCACTCTTACTATGATCAAGATAGAATTGCTGATTTTACCCCCAGTCAACTGATATTTCTTAGAGTTCCCCATCTCAGAAAATGGCACCAATGTAGACTACAAGATGTAGGAGACACCCTTGAGTTTTCTCTTCCCTTACACCTCACAAACAAACCATCAGTGCATCTGTCAGCACTTCTCCACTGCTAGCATGTTGGGCCAAGTGTCTGTCATCTCTCCCCTAACTGGTCTCCTGCTCCTTTAATCCCCCAGTCTGCTCCCCCCACCAACAATCCCTTCCTCACACAGCAAGCAGAGTAATTTTTTTTAATTTAAATCAATCGTGATTTAAAACCGTCTAGTGATGGGAAGATCCAGACTTACACTAAAATCCCCACTCCTCACACCCATATGGTCCATTGGAGCTAACACTTGCCTACCTCTCGGCCCTCATCTCTCTCCACTCTTCCCCTGCCTCCCTGCACTCTGACCATTCTTGGCTTCTTTCAGTTCTTTAAACATCAGGCCCCCACAGGCCCTTGTGGCTGAAATGCTCTCCCAGATCTTTGCAGAGCTCACTCTCTCTTGCTTTAAGAAGTCAATTAGATGTCACCCCCTCAGAGAGGACGTCCCTGACTAATCACAACACCTGGATTTATTTTCATCATGTTGTTGTTGTCAGGTGCCGTCGAGTCCGTTCCGACTCACAGCGACCCTATAGCACAGAGTAGAACTGCCCCATAGGGTTTCCAAGGAGCGCCTGGTGGATTTGAACTGCTGACCTTTTTGGTTAGCAACCAAGCTCTTAACCACTACGCCACCAGGGCCCTATTTTCACTTAATATTACCTAATATTTTCTTGTTTATTTATTTGCTTTTTGTAGATTTCTCCTTGTAAAATGCAAGCTTCCTAAGAAAAGGGACCTTAATTGTCACATTCAACAATGTATCCCCAGTGCCTGACAATGATTGGCCCATATTTGGTGTTAATAATTATTTCATGACTGTGAATGGATGATGGATGAATGAGTAAATGAATGAATACTTCCATGACAAGTGAAAAACAGCTCACACAATCTAGGAAGGATCCCAGGCAAAGAGAGATCATTGAAGATTACAGTAATGCCCATCTAGACCCATTTTTACCCTATTGTTATACTATATATAAAATTATATACACCTGCACGCTAATAGGGGCCCAGTGGCACATTGGTGAAGCGTCTGGCCGCTAACCAAAAGGTCAGCAGTTCCAATCCACCAGCCACCTCTTGAAAACCCTATAGGGCTGTTGTACTCTGTCCTGCAGGGTCGCTATGAGTTGGAATCAACTCAAGGGCAATGAGTTTGGTTTGGCTTGGTTTTTGCATACTAATAGTGAAAAATCAAGGTCATGAAAATCAAAAACTTGCATGAATTTGCAGACCTAGTTTAAAAACAAAACAATGGAAATTATCGTTTGCAAAAGTCTATTAAGGTACAGCCACCCTAGAACTACCTGCTTGATTGCATAAAATTATGGAAACAATGAGCTAATTGCTCTTTGGATGTATTAATGATTCATTAACCTTGATATCATCTGCCTAATTAAATAACTCCAGCAATTACATACAAGACTCTAGATTTTTTTTTCCCTTTACACCCCAAATAATAACCTACTAAGAAGTATTAAGCAAATGTGCTTTTATGTTACAATCTAACAATGATGACAGTTTCATTAACGGTTGTCAGAGTCAAAGACTCATGTCACTCATCTGCCCTGAGAGGCTGAAGAACTCAGTGGGCTTTAGATGGCTTTAACCAAGAGTCCA